ATTAGACAAGGAGGGCACTAGCGTGCGACAAGGGCAAACATGTAAATGCGGAAGACAAGGAGAGCAACAGCGTGCGACAAGAACAGACTTATTCGCGCGGTGGACAAGGAGGGCAATAGCGTGTGACAAGGATAGCAACATAAATTAGTTCCACCTTTTCGTTGCTACTCAGTGCTAGTGTTTTAAGGTCCAGAAATTGACCAAATTTTTATTTGCAAAAAAATGGAATTAAGAGAATCAATTTGCAAGCTTTTGCTGTTGTTTTTCTCAAATTAAATCCTCAGCTTCTTTCCTATATGTCTTTTGATCTTTAGAAACGTATGCATAAAAGTTTACAGATTCTACTCTATAGATCGAAACACCTGGTCAAAGATGTAATATTTAGCTTTTTATAAATTGTATTCTAAATTTGTATTCAAATAATTTAAACCTGGACATAGTTGACTGTTTCAGTTTTAAAATACGTATGACTAAAATGTCGATTAATCGCGTGAAAATAAATTGTTTATTTACATTTCATTATTTCAGCACGAAGCCGTTCGGGTACAATTAAATAGATGAAAAAAATTTAGAATTTAATTTAAAAGACGCAATTATGAAAAATATCTTGCTCTGTACCGAATTCGTAATTTTACAAAAAAATGTAACTTTTCGAACCTTTGTTGCATGGAATCGATCATTATAAGAACGATACTAGATAATTCCTAAAATACAGGACACGAAAAGACATTGCATGGCAGGTCTATGTTCTTAGTCAATAATAAAACTATTTAAAGTAGTATAGTAGAGTAGTGTGTTAATTTGGACAACGAGTACGTTATTACAATTGTTAAATACAAAATATAACTTTTATTCTTTGTATGTTTATCAGAGAAATCTTACAATTGACAATGTGATAATTTTAGGTTATGTTGCAGGTTATGTTTAGATAGAAGTGCACGAGTTTGTAGTGAAATCAATTCCAATTTACATGACCGAAGCGATGGCTTTAAAGATAAAAAGAAAAACACTGGCAGATACAGTGAATTCGCTAGTTACTACGACGCCAGTGAGCTTCAATTCTGACGATGAAACCGAATACACAAAAGCCAAGGTAGTCGATCGTTACGACGAAAGCGATGGTTCAGATAGTAATTTACAAGTTTCTGAAATACGTAGACGAAATGTGGATCTTTTGGATCAAGTGGACAAAAGGTATAAAATTTCATTTCAATTTTATCATCAAACGTTATTAAACTAAGACATTGTATACATTTTCTTACTATAGGTACAAGGGTAAAAAAATTTCAAGGAAAGATATATATGGAGATAATGATGAAGATTCCAGTTCGCAAGGCACATCAGAAAGTGAAAACGAGGGAATGGACGATTTAGAACAAGAAAGCAATGACGATATGAACGATAGTAGTGATGAAGAAGACATCAAAGATAATGACAGTGACATTGGAGACAATGAAAGCGATGATTCAAACGAAGAACTAAGTCATGATAGTGAAACAAATGTAGAAGATTCAGAGGATGAATCCAGTATCAAGAATGAAGACAATGATACTTCTCTTGCAAAACAGAGAAAAGATATTGAGACAATATCGCAAACAAATGTAAGATCAGAGATAGAAAAAGGAAATTGTGTTAGAAATCAGTTAAAGCTTTGGGAAAATTTGTTGGAAGTAAGAATAAAGTTACAAAAGTGTTTAGTTACGAGTAATCAAATGCCTCAGCATGATGTTTACCAAAATTTTAAGACAAGCACAGAATATACAAAAACAGCTAATGAAACGGGAAATAATTTGAAAATGTTGTTAAATAATATGTTACAATTGCAAACTTTCTTATTGAAACAATATCCTGAAACGAAAAGTTTATGTATGCCTAATAAAAAAAGAAAAGCTGAGGAAAGCATAGATGAAATAGCAAATACAGAAGATCCAATGGATGAAGAAATTCCTTCAGATACAGAAGACGAAAATGAAGATAAAAGTGTATCTTCAGACGGAAATGTTGAAAATTTTAATAAAAATATATTTAGTAAAAAATTGAAACTCAACAACTATGAAAAAATATTAAATGATAATCACAAATCGTATATAGAACACAGAGATTCTGTCATACAAAAATGGAATGAAAAGACGAGGATAGCTAGTGGTAAATTAAATAAAGGTACAAAGGAAACGACTCTAAAACAAATCGAATTCGCATTGATTGATAAAGAAAAATTGCGTAGAAAGAGTCGATTGAAACGTTCAGAATATAAGATTGTTGGCAAGGAGGAAGCAACGGAAGATAATGATGGTAGAAGAGTTCAAGAATACGATTCTGAAATTTACGATGATGATGATTTTTATCATCAGCTTCTAAGAGATTTAATTGAATATAAATCATCTGATATCACTGATCCTATACAACTTAGTAAACAGTGGATACAGTTGCAGAATATGAGACGAAGAATGAAACGAAAGATAGATACGAGAGCTACCAAGGGTAGAAGAATACGGTATAATGTACATAATAAATTACTAAACTTTATGGCTCCTATTACTGTAAATGACAGATGGACAGATCATGCAAAAGATGAATTGTACAGTTCTTTATTTGGAAAAATTAAATCGTCAAATGGAGAATTTGGCCGTTAAGTTTAGAATAATTAATAAAAATGTTAATTTTGTATATTTTAGTCAGAAGTATTTTATAAAATTTATAGAAATTTGATAATGAAATGCAAACAAAAATAATTGTATCTAATACTATTTAATGAAAAATTGAATGAAAAATAAAATTTGTTCATTGAAATATATTTTAATTTTTTAAAACCTATAAGAATATTGAAAATTTTATACCTAATAATATTTATTTGTTATAATTTTATCATACAAAATGTTATCGTGTATATATAATCTTGTTTAGCAAATAAAGTAGTTTTAATATAATTAATATTAATTAATTTAAAATTAATACAATTAAATTCATCGTATCCTTTTTTTTCATATGTAATATTTTAGTATATTTTATATAAAATCAGAGATTAAATGTAGGCAATTGTCTCAACAGAGAAGAAATTTTTCCAAATAAAAAATAAATTATTTTTTTAATAAAAAGTGATAATATTAGTTAAAAGTGTTCTTAAAATGTATATATTTTTTTTAAAACAAAGCTGCGCCCTCTATGTATTCTACATCAAAACAATAAATTATATTAAATAAAATTTGCATAATTTTATAAAAATAATTTTATCGAATTTTTTGAAACAAATGATCGAATGTTTGTTATCTCTGTCACAGACTTCTGTTTTTTTTTTTAAACAATTATTTTACGCATCACTATTGCGTTTATTTGATCCGTGGTATATGTACACGTCGTTTCACTCTAATTCAACCGGTGATTGCGTTCGTAGGAGCAGCGATAGTTATGGATTCTGCTTGTCAAAATTCAGATTTTAGTTCGAAATATTTGCTTGGTCAGTTAAATATAGCTAGAAAAGAAATCAATAATTTAAGGTATTATTTGCATTTTTTTTTTGTTACATCTTGTCTTTATAAATCCAGAGAATTATTCAAAAAGATATCAACAAGTTCCACACAACATGCTGTTATTTATAAAGTACACGTATCTCTCGTACGTACATGGACGTATGAATATTACATATACGTGAAATAAATAATAGAATATAAATATTATATTTTTTTATTGAAAATTAAAATAAAAAATTGTTTTATTGATATGCGACATAACGTATTATAATAGGATTAGTGATTATTTTTTTAATCTTTGCAGACAACAAATAAAAAGTCTCCGATATATACATGAAAAAGATGTTGATAGTATAAAGCGTCTTCTGGAATCATATAGAAATGGACCATCTGCGTCTAAGACAAAAATCACAGGTTCAGATGATGTGAAACCTAGCACCAGTACAGATGAAGACACTGTAAAGTTGAAACCAATTGGAGTAATATCTACTTGGTTCCCTAGCAAACGAGGCACACCCAGACAAACACGTATCTGTGGGAAAGTACCTGGAAAACTGTTATTATATAATTCAGTATTTACTAATCCTGATCATGCACTTGAAGGATTACAAGATTTTTCACATATGTGGTAAGATAACTTATTTAGTAAACGAATTTTATTTTATTTATTTATTTATTTCTAAACAATTAATGCAAAATCATTTCTAATTCAATAGGGTTCTATTCTACTTTCATAGAAATGATTCAACGCATGTTCGTGCTAAAGTTGCACCTCCAAGATTAAACGGTACAAAAACAGGTGTATTTTCTACACGTTCGCCACATCGTCCATGTCCAATTGGTTTGAGTTTAGTAAAAATTACAACCATAGAAAATCACACAATTTACTTTGAAGGTGTAGATATGGTTGATCAGTCACCTGTGCTAGATATAAAACCTTATATACCACAGTACGACAGTCCTTTATATTTTGAGAAATTAAGCAATAGGTCACAAGAATCGAATTTGGATGATGCATTCGAATGTATAGAAGAAACTGCCAGAAATCAGAGTCTTGGAGATGAACCAAGAAGTTTACTTTCAGAATCTTATTATAGAAAACCTATCAATAAAGCGAACCAAGAGACAGATGTTTCTAGAGATGAAGAAATTGCTCTAAGGTTACAAGCTGAGGAATTTCAAAGAAATTCAAATTTTGAAAGTTACTCCAGTATGAGACATTTTTCTGAATTAAGTGATATCAGTTTGCACAATAACGGCACATTACAACATAGCGTAGATGTAACCGACATTCATAGAACTCCTTACACACTTCCTGATACTTTGTCTGATCCGAGAACAAGTCTGAATATAACAGGGCACAATGTACTTTCGTCTGATATAGAACCAGAAAGTTTAGTAGATATAAACAGTAGATTACAAAATATTAACGTAAGTGAGCGTACTAATGTAGAACCAGTTTACGGATCGAGAAGCGTGGAGTCCAATTATACAGAAACACATGCTTCTCGGTCTAGACTTTTAGATGGAGCTGATGGACCAAATACTATTTGTGGCACCGACATAGATTTAATTCGTAGACGATCGTTAAGCTCGAGAATTGACAATTCTCCTGTTAGGATGGGAGTACGGGAAGCTCCTGATGGAGAAGAAGGATTAGAACCACAAATTCTCACTCCTTCGCAACATTTACCGAGTCAAGTAATACGAACAATGTCAAACAATAGTTTACCAGACAGCGGAGATACACATTTAGTTTTCTCCTCTGAATCGAGAAATCTTGAGAATAGAAATTCAGGATCTAATATCTCTTCAGAAATAAGAATTCCAGAATGGATATCAAGACCTCGGACACCTCTATGTGTAGTGTTTAACGACCGTGCGTTGATTCAATTAAATGAGATTTTAGGAACTAAAATTAACGATCAGAAAGTGGCTATTGAAAATGTACTTCGCGAAGATCCTAGATCAGTATATTTAAGACAACGATGGGGTAGCCAATTTTATACTTTCTTAATTCACGATTTACACATCACTTGTAGATTTGATGACAACAGAGGTATAGTGACAGTTTTCCAAGTCAGACACGCTGGTCGTATTTGCGAATGTGGAGAACCTGAATGGCAATGTTTGGGTCATTCACCACCATCGTCTTAAAGTATATATACACATGTGCATATATAATATCACTAACTTTGCTATTATTTTTTAAATTTGTTGATTATATTACAAAAGATGATTGTGAGCAACTTGATTTACCTTTAAAGAAATTCTGCATCATTTATTCAGAAATATGACATTTTATTTATGTCTCACTGAATATTTCATATTTTTAACTTAACATTTATTATGTAAGGAATAAAAATTCAGTATATTAAACAATTACTAGTAATTCAAACAAAAATGTTAAAATTACAAATTTGAAATATTCTGTGAGTTGCACATCAAAAATTAAAAAGAAAATATCGCTATCATGTGCAATACAATTTTTAAATAATCTTTTATATGATTTACAATAATTGGAAATGATATTCAAGAACTATCCTAGATCTATTTCAAGATTTATTACATTACAATTACTTTTTATGTAAAAAGTGGAATTCAGTAAAATATTTAATTACATTTCTAATTCATTTATTAATAATTTTGCTAATGGAAATGATTCTTTTTTTTAAACTTCTTTCTACAGTGTAGAACTAGTCTTAGATCTTTCGCAAATTCGTCAATATATATGCATTTTTAAAAGATTTATCTAATTTTTAATTTAAGGTGTATTTAGATATCAACTCTACGAATTTTGTAAATTACGGCGTCTCTAAAAGTAGATAAATTTTCTATTATTTTATTTATTGTATAATCTTTTATGATTTTTTTAATTATAATTATATTATCGCATATCACTTTGTTATGATACAGAAGTTCCTATATTTTTAGTCTTTGTAAATGATTATAATACAAAATTGTTTTAAATTCATGCGCAAAATAAAATATTTCAAAAAGAATTTATTTTAATTTTTAGCTGTAAAAAATTATTCTCCAAAATATTTCCATGATATGTAATATTTGTTTTATTAAATTACTTTGAAGACTCATATAAGGGAAAATATTTATTAATTAAAACTATATATATATATATTATATATATAAAATTCAAGTATACATCCGTATTGTTGAATCTGCACCTGCAGAAAATACCCATGGTTGAATAGGATGAAACATCACGTCCAAAATACCAAAATCATTGTAAGACTCGTGATTGCATAATCTTTTAAGTGGTACGATCAATGCATTTTGCAATAAATCACTGAAATACATTATGAAATAAACAATATGTGACAAACAATAGTATCAAATAATTATAATAGTTAGCTTACTTGTAAACCATTCCATGGGAAACGATAAGACCTCTATCATCAGCACCGGATGCAAAAAGTGGATATCGCTTATGAAACGCAACACCACGAACGCCTGTACCATGTAAACGTAATGTTTGATAAGGTTTTGTACTTAAATCAAGATCGAACCAAAGCATTTTGCGGTCATAAGTGCCTACTAAAATATTGTCGCCTCCTAGAAACATAGATATTTACATATATATAATTAATAAGTGTGGTAAAGTATTAATATCTACTCTACCTGGATGTATTGCCATTGATGATATCCATTGTGAGTTGGATAATAACTTTTTAATCATTTCTTGTTTTATTAAATCATATATTCGAACATTTCGTTGAGTCTACAATTATTGAGTCTGCAGTTATACACTTAAAATTTTAAATTTAATTTATATTCTTTTCTACTTACCGCTACAAACAAATAAGGTCTAATTGGATGAAACAGGACACACTGTATTAAACCCTTTGATTTCGTAAAAGGCAACTGAGATCTCCGTTTTGATAACTGATTTATTAAGACAGACCTGTTTTGACCATCGGGCATAACAGTAGCAAAATAATCACCTTTACCATGCCAAGTCACTTGTTTTACTATTTTAAAATGATTTAAAATTATCCTAATTCCATTAGTCCAATAATCACCTTCTGCTTGTTCCCACTGAACAGCAGTTTTCACTCTCTCACTTACTATAACAAAAATGCAAGTATTATAAACAAATTATTATAGAAAGTATTGTAAAAGACTATGTTTTACAATACCTATAACATCACTTTGAGGTATTATTTCCAACAACTGATTCGTTTTATTAGTAATTAAATGATCTCCAACGTCAGGATTTATTAAAAGAACCTTCTTTTCTGCGGCTACTGCTATAAGCGATAGAGATTGATTTGGACACCATGCTACAGATCTAATTATCCCTCCACACGGTATTGTTTTTATACATCTGCCAGTTGCTATTTCCCATACTGTGAAACAATGAACAGTGTTATATATTATGTATAATATTTTATATATAAAAGACATACTTTTTAAATTCATGTCATCACCGCCAGAAGCAATATACTGTCCCATTGGTTCTGCAGTAATACTTCTCACCATATCTGCATGACCTTTAAATACCATAGACATTGTTGTAGGAAAAGGTTGTAGATCCTTTGGACTGGGTAACTGAGGTACTAAGGCTTCTGGTTCTATTGTTAATCTCATTTTCAGTGCTCTAGGACACAAGTACAAATCTAGACACCTCTGAAATCTTTCTTTAACATATTTGGGATAAGCTGGAACTTCGCGGAGAGAATTGTATTTTTGTGGAATGAAGTGTAATTTTCGTTTCCATGGAGTTGTTTGTAATTTATTCCATTCTTTCAATTCTTTATTATCGAATAAGTATTCTGGAGGAGGATTATAGCTTTCTGCATGTCCAGGCAAATGTCTTTTTGGTGCAGGAATATGTTTATGAATTCTACGCATTTCTTCAGCTTGATCATCTGATTGCCACAACATGTAAAATTGTGGTTTATTTGTCTTCTGTTCCCTTTCTTTTTTTAATTCTGCTGTTGACTTTATCCAACCCATTTTAAGCGCATGAACTAATTTTGATACCTTTCTAGCTTCTGGTTTAGATGGTAAGAATGAACGTTTATGTTCAGGAAATTTACGTAATGGTGTCTTCATTACCTCTGAAGTAAACCATTCTATCCATGGCTAATGAAATAACATAAAAATATAATTCTTGAATTACTACATTACTATTGAATTTAAAAAATACTTACACCATATTCATCAAATGTTACATCTGGAATTTTTCGTTTTTGTATCCTTGTAATTAAATCTATGTCTGCTTCACTTAATACAACATCTTGCCCAGTTTGAGGATCTTTAATTGTTCTCCAGAAATCAGGATCTTCCATTCTTTTCAAAAAATTGTCTAGTTGATCACCTTTCTGAGGTTTTATAATTTTTTTGCCATCCCAATTGTAACCAATGTGATCGTATTCATCATACCACTTCATTGGTATGTTTCCAACTGTATTACGTATATCTTCTTCATCAGAACTATCATATTCATACTCATCTACTTCTTGATCTGCTATTGTCTCGTCATTATTTTCATTGTTTATATTAGATTCAGTACTATTCTTAGTATTCTTTCTTTTAGATTTTTCTATATCTGATTTTAAGTTTTTTTTATTCTGTACCTTATCCTTTTGTACAACTTCACCAATATTTAATTCATCTGATTTATTAATTTTGTTTGTTTTCTTACTTTGCTTTTTGGTTTGTAATGTATCAGATGTATTTTTAGTATTAATATTAGTTTTGGAAGATTTATTTTTCTTTATTTTTTCAGATACATTATCCTTAGATGTTGTGGGAGTATTAAAATTTTCGCTTTTCTTTTTCAAATTTTCATCTTTACTTTCATCATTGCTTTCATTAAGAGAAATACTTTCTTCATCACTTTCAGAATAATCTAGACCAAGATCATCTGAATCTGTCTCAAAACTTAAATCACTTTCTTCATCGTCGGATTCAAAAACAATTTGATCCTGTTCAGTGTCTGATACAGGAACGTCTTCATTTTCATTTACTTCCTCATCTGAACTTTCGTCATTGTTGTTCACTTCAGTAGACAATAAGTCTTCAGTACCTGAATCCTAAATAATATTTTTCGTTATTTAAGTAATTTTTTATTAAATACAAAAATAATGATATCTTCGAAATATATGTAGTTCTAAATTAAACAATTTGGTTATGTTTTCTTATAGGTTAGAACATGCCGATAAAAGAAATGTTACCGATTCTTCTTCAAATATGGATTTTGTCGAATCTGGTTCTTCTTTTTTAACATTATTTTCAGTTAGTACATTATTTAATTTTCTCTTTACGATTTTCCGTTGATTCTTCATCTTTTTCACGTGTTACTGTTTTCACGTGTCCTCTGACATCTGTGAGGTTTGGCGCGCGTTCTTCAAATTCAAATTTCAAGAGTCCAATATCAAAGTCCTAAACTACGATTTCAAATTAAAATTCAACACTGTTAATATTGCAATAATTACAGCTGAAGGATCGCTTGTGATCTCAGTTTAAGCGTGTGAGAGTGTCGCTCCGATGTCACTTAGAATATATTCCTCCCCTGTCTAGAGCCACACTAATGAATAATCTGACTGGTGACTCCGAGATGAAACGCTAACTCCTTTAACTCCAAAATACTTTTTGATAATGACCTCTCTCTTTCAGGATCCCGAGTGTGTGAGTAGGAATTATTATTTTTTTCTCTTGACCGAAAAGTTCCACTTAACATGACAATACAAGAGATAAAAATGAGGTTATGAACATTTCACATGGTTGTTATCAGTAGCTTTAAATACAGTTTACATATAAGTTATCAAATGAAACAATGTGTACTGTATTCAATGTGTATTTTATCAATTTGATAGGAATAAATTGACACATTCTTTTTAACAAAACATGTCCAAATTCAAAACATACAAATAAAATTTTCATTTTTTGAATGTTTAACATAATGTACGAATATTATATTTATAATATCTTGTCCATTATTGCATAAAGTATTTAAAACATTGTGTGAACTATTTGTTGCCAAAATATGATCTGATATAATAAATTTATGTATCTTACATTTATATATTTACACTTTCATATACATTATTTTTATTGTTGTGTTAATAGTTCGAGAAATGCACAGGTAAATAATTGTCAGTAAAAAAATAACAAATGTCTGTGAATTCTTAATATAATAACATTTCTCAATTTGCTATATTACTATATTATATCTTGTTTGTTGCGCGGTATTAGGCGGCGTAGTTGTTGGATGAATGTGAACAGGTAAATCCCATATCATTGTTTCAACATCCAAGATCAATGGTCCTTGCCAGTTAATAGTACTTTTATTGGGCACTTCTACCAGTTTGGAAGTCGTAACAAATTCGAAATGTAATCTCCACTTTAGTGTCATTAAATCAGTAGTAAAATCTGGGGTCACATGCAATGGTATGGGTAATACCAAATGAGAATATTTCAAACCCATACACATTTCGTGGTGTTTATTGTAACTGACTAAAGTCGGTGTTGAAGTCTTTCCTCGTCTGTACTCCTCTGAAATATGTTCCTCTGATTGCAACGCAACAGATACCTGAGCGCAGGAAACGGTAGCATTCGAGAAATCAAACGTTCCAACGATATCTTCTCCGAGTTTGTAAGAATTTTTGAAAAGACAAAATCTTACAATACGTCCACGTCCGTTTGTGATATTATAAAAGTTTGGGCTGCGTCTCGCTGTTAAATTCTAAATGTAAAAGCAAAGAATTAATATTATGTTTACATAATAAATACAAATTTCTATATAAACATAATGAACCTGAAGAGTCTGTAGTGCAACGTCTAATGGAGTATCTCTATGTTGTGTTTCCATGAATGGATTATTTGGACTTAAATCAACGCTATCATTACAAGCAGTTACTTCAGGCAATTCTACAAATTCACAAATAAAAACAAGAGCTTTAATCACAATTCTTTTTTATAATGAATTAATAGATATATAAATGTTATACTAAATTTATTAAAGTAAGAAGATTAAATAATACACTACCGCTTAAAGAAAGTACTCTAAATGGAACTCTAAGTAACTTTATGGCTGTGTTTACTCTTTGTGTCCCAACTGTAATTTTATACGAATATTTTACTGCATGCCCTCTATAGGATGGAGGTGCATCACTTGGAATTGTTTCTCGATAAATATCTATAAAATTTAATGTACTTTTATTCATATGCTTGACCTTCAATATATCCAAATTCCAATTAACCCAGGATTACCCACCTGGAGGTCTAGTGCAGGTACAGCCCGGCACTAGACCCCCACGTGGGTAATCCCGGGTTAAGAACTCACATGTTTTACTTTCACCAGGAGATAATCTTAAGTCACAAAACAAAATTTTTGGTTTTGTATTTAGAACAACATGACCATTATCCTGCTGCCATGGTGCAAAGGTTGTATCTGAAAGACACTTATTATAAAAAACAAACTGAATGAATTAGAAAGTTAGATTCGTTAGAATCAAAATTAAAGAAACGGATTCTGTACTTTTTTAGGCAACAATTAGAAATTATTACTTTAAAATACTATGAACTTACTTGCATTAATAGCTGCTAATTGTGCTGTCATGTTTAGTTTTTCTGAGAAAACAATTTTACTATTTGTAGAACATTGACAATGAACCTGAGCACTAGCCCATGCGAGACTCTCAAAAATGTCACTAAAATTAATTATAATTTGTATATAAGAATTTATCTCTTTGATATATACAAGTTAACTACACATCACCTGTGACTTTGGGAGATTTGATGAATTGGATTTGGTGGATTACTAAATGTGACTAAACATTCAATAACTTCACCAGAAAAATATACAGGTCCTCTAATTAATTTTGCTGTTATCTCAATCATGATTTTTACTACAATAATTAAATTTCACAATGTTAATCCGTTTTCTGAAATATATTAATTTATATTGAAAATTTGCCTTACGATATTTTATATGTATTATGGTATTATAATAAATTAATTATTTTACTGCATAAGCCAAAGGAAATTTAAAATATTTTGAAATGAATATGTATGAAATTTTATATACATACATATTCAATCCATAAACATTCATCAGGTTATTTATCCACACTCTAATGTTGACGATGTTTAAGATTTCAATCATTAGTCTAGAATTATATGTGTTGAAGAGTGCCAATACTTTTACAGAAAACTTAAACGTCAGTTTACAATGTTGTAATGTGAATTTTCCTAATCTTTTTAATATGTATTTCTTATTATATGTTATTTTTTATTATATTTTATTTTTTTTAGTATTGATTTACTAGCATTAATTTTTATAACTTACAATTTAACATTGCACAATATTGCGTTGCATTGTTTTACATAACATAACCTATAATTTTATAATCAATTTAATAACAATTATTACTACGATGACAGAAGTAACTGCATATGAAATTTTTAATAAAATTGATAATAAGAATTATACACTTTATGTAGAATGGTTTCATTTGTGTCTTAAGATAATGTTGTTAAATTCAACAATACCACCATTAACCGGCGAGGTTAGTGTACAAGTTGGAAAAGCCCGAAATTTAAATTTAATTGATGTAAATCCTTAAAATTGTGTGGGTTTAATTTTTTAATAAAAATAGCTAACAAACAAATTATGTTATAGATGGATAGCGAAAGTATAAATTATTTTTCTAGCGAATTATCTAAATCTTCTGATGAATACGTCGAAGAGACGAAACAAATACTTGGTGGAAAAGATACAAAAATTCAGTTTCTTGTCAAAAATGAAATTTTCGAATGGAAAAGAAACGCATGGACTCTCGGGAGAATTAAACTACGTACTGTTTCAGATATCCAAGTAATTTGTGAAAGTTTTCAACAGCTGTTGAAATTTTTCCGAAACATCCAAGAAAAGATGACGATATTAGAAGAAGAAAATACAAATTTAATAAATGTAAATAAAGAATTAAGTTCCAAAATAGAAAAAATGATTGAAATCAAGAGTACTATGGAACAAGATCTATATAAGAAGTTTATAATAGTTTTAAATTCAAAGAAAAAGAAAATTAAAGAATTAACAGATGTCATAGAAGAGAAAGAAAATACTGAAAAATCAGTCTTTGATGTATGTACAGATGAAGAATCAGGAAAAGAAGATGAAGCTGTAAAAAATATTACAATATCTACCAAAGTTAGCAAAAAAAAATCTCTTAATAATACTAGTCCAAAAAGTATTCAGGAAACCAAAAAGGCAAATCATATTATTAAAATAATTCCTAAAGCATCCACCAGCAGTGATTGGACAGAAAATAAGATAAGTACTTTAAATAAAAAAGTAGATGAAAATGAAGAAGAAAGTTGTAATCCCAAGAAGTCAAAAAGTATCTTGAATTTTGAAGAAGAATCTGAGGAAGAATTATTTTCTTAATAATGCAAGTTTATCTATTTACAATTTTTATTTACAATTATACATCTTTTAAAACATAGATTGTGCAATAAATAATTGGAAATAATTTATGTTTCCAATGTGAGTAAAAAAATTGTTTATTACATTTTAATGTAATAATTCAAATTTTATTTCAATTGAAGATACATTAAGCACATTAATCTTTATAGATTAGACATTTCTCTAATCATAATTTAATGTATCTAAAATACACGAATCCAATAAAATTGTATATATGAATTTAATGTATTTATGTATAATGATTTTCCAAAATTAATTTTAATATGTATGTATTTATATGTATTACGAATTATATGTAAAAAAAATTGTAATACATAGCCTGAATAAATTAATTTATCTTTTAAAAGAAGTATTACTTACTTTAAAAGAAAAATTACTATATCAAATTTTATAAAATATTTTACGATTACCTGGAGTTCAAGAGTCTGAGGAGGGGACATTGAATTCACAAAAATAGTAATATGCATACAAATAAGTCGTACGTTATAGGCTAAAATTATGTTGCAGTATATTAAATTACCTTGCCCTAATTGAAGATGATTTTAAAAGCTCGAATACTAGGTTCCGATCCAACAATCCGCGCGAAAGTTTTTCACAGAGTAGCGTTAGTTAAGCGTATTTCATTTTCGCGTCAATGAGGTTTATACTTGCAGAGATTATGGTAGGCACGTAAAATATTTGATTAATTAGATACCCATTTCTTATTGTAAAGACAGTCTGTGCCACTATAGTTTGAAAGATCTTAAAAAAATCTTAAATAGATTAATAGTAAGTTTGTTGTAAAGGTATTAATGTCGCGCTTCATAAAAAAAATTGTCGATCGTCTTGTTCCGGTTGTACTCGAGAGTGAATAGATGAAGGTAACGTTGGCGGTGATGGATTAACGAATGGTACGTGATAATCGTAACGATAATAAGTGAACGATTCCCACCGAGGGTGTTGAACATCTACGGAAGTATTTGTAGTAATTGAGGCAGTATTACCATAGTAACTTCTCTCTGGTATGCTCGAAGTGTAACTATACTGTGGTTCCAAAAGACTTTGAAGATGTCGTATATACGTGATCGCATGCCTAAGTGACTCGATTTTCGAAAGTTTTTTGCCGGGTGGTTTACAGATTGGTAGCTTCGATCGTAGAAGCTCGAAAGCGCGATTCATATCACGCATTCTTGTCCGTTCACGGTCGCAAGCTGATTTTTTATAATCTAAAAACAAAACTAAAATTAATTTAATAACAACGAGAGATATTATTTATCTTTGAGAGTTTATTATATTTTTCACCTTTCTCAGTTTGTGATGGTTCTCTTTGGACTGATTTTATATTCGTTTCGTGAAGGATTTCCAAGTGGGGATGAGTGTTGATCACTTCCGGTTCGGGAACTCTTATCACAAATACTCGATTATTTTGTTGACGATCTTCGAAATTTTCATCCTGCCATGATCTTCTTACAGATTGTCGTCGAGGCATATTTGTATTTTCTATAAATAAATGTTTTATTGTAATTTTGTAATTATTTTTTTTATATTTATTATTATATTTTTTATATTTATTATTATATTTTATATTTATATTTATTACATCAAATGTAATTAAATCACAACTATACCTGGACCACTTCTTATTAACTGATCCTGCAAATATTGGTTGATACTAGAAACTTTAGACGGCAAACTTTCTTCTTGATTTAAAATATCTTGCTGTTGCTTAGAATTTTTATCTAAATCCAATAATATAGGCGAATGTACGCATTCTTCGTTGGTGCTATCATTTTCTGACTGGGAAACAAAATTTTGTATTTTATTTATTAATTAATTTATTCATCTAAAAGCGTTTAATCGCTTGTTCTTGATTTTAAACGCATTTTTTTCTAAAAAATATTCGAATGGTTAGTATCTTGAAAACAAATTTTTCAGTTAATCCGAAATTCCAACACAATTATTCTTTATGTATGTATAATTTATTTTATACGTATCGCTCTTCGCAAGTAAAAAAAATAAATAAATAAATATATTACAACTTTCGATTAATTTATTAATCACAGAGTGAAGAGATAAAACACGCCGTAAGAAAGTTTGAATATGTTAATTGATATTCAATAGTAATTATCAAAAAAATTCCAAAACATATTTCGAATATAAATGAATACAGAAAATTTCAAGATGCCATAGTTTTCGCCCAAAAGTTTTTAAAGTTCCGAAAGTTCTCTTTTTAAAATCGTGTCTCTTAATAGACATGTCTTTAAGTTCTTCAGACTGATATTAAATAAGAGTTTGAAGAAATTTTACCTCGTTTCTCGATAATTTGTTGCCGTATTCCTCAGAGTCCATATCGAAGAATCAAATTATTATCAGTGGAAATACTGACTAATCGTTGTTGAAACGGTTTGACCAATAAGGTGTTAAAGGTACTGTCGATCTACCTTCTTTGAGAAACTTTCCTAAGGCATATATCATACGAGACTGTCGAACACATTGGATAAGATGTAGATCGGTCACAGACAGTCGTTATTAATGTTAATTTTATCCATTTATTAAGTATTCAGGTGTTCCAACAGAGGTTCTCAATTTATGGAGAATCATCAACATCAGCCAGATGATTTTTGGTCCCAGACTATTGTGGACGATTCGAGTAAAGCTGTGCTAAGTTTTAACAGTTCAAACCTTCGTTCGTTATTGAAAAAAAAAAAATACTTTTAAAAGTTTTTTTCACACACACACATATAGATCCTTTATTTAATAAATCTTTGAAAACCTTTTTATTAATTTAGTCAGATCTAATTCAAATATAGTGGCGTTTGATGCGTGCTGTTTATGGTATAAAGCTCTATAAAACTAAAAATTCCACTTTAAAAAGACTTTATTGCAATAAATTTCAGTAATATTTTGTTACTCAGAATAATTTTTAAATTATTCGTGTCTAAGCTAACATTCAATTTTTTATTTAATTTCAATAAATTGTACTCTTACAAATTAGAGTGTTACTTCATTCTCATATCTGAGAAATATTATTTTTAAACTCATATGCTTTGTTTTGTATTTTATTAAACTCAAATATTAAAATATATAATAATAATATTTTATTTTGATGAATAACACGCTTCATAAATTTTGACCTGTTCTTTTTTCTCTGTCCTACACTCAACTTAAATCGTCAAATGAATTTTTTTAACATTCTACGGTATATACATATCCACTGTATATTTATGGATTGTAATTAATTTAAATTTCACTTTCGAAAAATGAGAATGTTTTTTTATCGTGTCAAATGATATGAGTGCCACTGGGATGATCGGAATAAAAGTGGGAATGCAAACATCGAAACATAATAGACGCCCGCTCGATGGAAATACTAATGAGACAGACGATGCAAGTATAACGGATTGTGAAGAATAGCGATAATTTTTGAGAATGCGTCGAAACCTGTATCTTTATAGAAAAATTAAGCATTCATATTACTAGAGGGAGAATAGACCGGAACTCGAATGCACTATCAAATTACTCTCACACGAGTTCTTAATTACTTAATTCGAGAAACAGCTCGTCTTTATGTCTCATTTCACGTATAATGATATAATTTTCTCATTGATAAAAATTGTATACTTGTAGTTGTAGAATTTTACAATGACTTATCAATTTTTTGATAAACACAACGTGCAAAAAATTGTTATTTACCATATGCTAAAACGCAGTGGCCCTTTTTAGAAGAATAAATTATTAATAAAGTCCGCAACTCTTCTATAGTAAATAAATTCAAGGATTAATGCAATTTGTGAGACTATTCAGAAGCTTGATGGTTGTTAAAATTAATCCTGCAAATAATTTTATTATTTAGCTTTTTTTTTTGCCTTCCTTGTCTTATTATTAAATTTTTTCTTATTATTTCTTATTATTATTATTCTTATTATTTTACCAATTACCACTGGTGAACGAGAAAAGCATTTTTCAGTCCCACAATAAATTTGCGATAAATAACGTTTTTGTAATTAGCACAAGAGTCATAATTTTATAAACTGATGATCTTATAATTTTTATATTGATGAACTCTGCAATAGTATCATGTTTCCACATGTTTACACGCATTCCGATACATGCGTAAGAAAACAGTAAATAGCAATGGAAACGCAATAATGTAATAGTTATAAAAAGATAATTTCTTCCAATATTGTTTTCTTTCTTGTTTTCTTTCTCTTAAATAACCGTTCATATTTAACATATCGAAATATCTATTTGACATTTTACAATCACGTTTAAATGTTGAAATCGCCATGTTGTGACGTTTCGGGTCATTGTATAGACAGCTAATGGGCATGCTCACAAATGTATTTTGTATTTACGTTCTGGAAACGGCATGGAGTCGCAGGACAAGATCGCAAATATACAAGCGAAATTCAAGGATGTTCGAAAATTGCTGGATAATCTTGAAAAGTACAAAACGGAAAACGAGCCGTATAAAATAAAATATCAAGCGATCGAAGTGTTGAAATCGATGGAAATAGATTTGGCCAACATTTTAACCGACACACCAGAGACGGAGAAAGGAGAAGAAATAATAATGCTTGCTGTAATACATTTAAATCTCGGTTTATTACACGCTGATACCGAAGAGTTAAAAGCAGGCGAGGAACAATTCATGAAATGCATAAAATTACTGAAAAACAAAGAGCTGGAGCCGGAAGCTGTCTTACCAGTATTAAGCGCATTGAACCAGTTGGGTATTATATGGTCCCAATGGAATCAACCTATAAGGGCAAAAGACTTTCTAGATCAGGCAGAGCGAATTTACAACGACTTTATAAATACTAATAACCCGTGTATAGATCCTATTAATATGGCTCAGAATTTTGGCATTGAGCAAGTTAAAGACGAGTTAAGTCCCAAAGATGTATTAGAGAAAATTCATACTTTAACATTATACTATTTAGCACAAGTATATAATTCATTGAAAGATCATCGCCAGTCTGCAATATATTGTCACATGACTTTGTGTAGGCAATTAGAACAAAACGACATTGCGCAAGATTTAGATTATATTGATTGGGCATTAAATGCAGCAACATTGTCGCAGTATTTTATGGAAAATGGAAGTTTTACCCAAGCAAGACACCATTTAGCAGCTGCGTCTTACATATTGCAAAAGTATAAAGATATGTTGAAAGAGAAAACTGAAAAGAATGGAGAAAGTGAAGCACTCACAGCTGAGTGGGAAAATTTTAATCATAGAAGTGCAGACGTTGCCAGATGTTGGGCTAAATATGGAATTTTGCTTCTAATGTTATCAAAAGAAAGACTTTTACATAAAACTGAAACAGAACAGGATACTAATCAATCAAATAATGATTCTTCAAAATCAAAGATTATTGATGATTTGAAGTTCAATAGTTTAGAAAAAGAAATAGAGCCAATTGCAAATCAGATCATTGATAAATATTTATTAGATTTCGAAGATGCTAGATTAGTGTTCTTGAATACCCAAAAATGGTTAGAGCAAGCTAAGTCATATTATACTTTAGAAAATCTTGCATCTGACCACATATCAATTGTACAAGATATTTCTTTAACTTATAAATATTTGGCATTTTTTGAAGAGCATGAAGACAGGCAAGCAAAAATGCATAAAAGAAGAATAGACATTTTAGAAAATATTATTAAAGAATTAAACCCCCAGTATTATGAATCTGCTTGCAGGCAAATTTGGATCGAATTAGGAGAAACATATTCTGATATTCTTGATATAAAACTTGATCGTTTACGATCATCCGATGAAAAACCTACACCGCAGGTGCTAACAAAAATTAATCATTTAGCAAAAAGTGCTATAAAAAATTTTCAAGCGTTCCTCGATTCATTACATTTACATCGAAATTCTAATTCTAATATAGAAGAATTTCCTGATGAAATAATGCAACCAGCTTTGTTTTCTTACTTTCATCTGGGTAGATTGTATAATAAAATTATAACTCCTGACAAAGCTAATCAGTTGCAAAATACGCAACAAAGTATTAATGCATATAAATTCATAATCGATTATTGCGAAAAACATCCCAAAGCAGCTGAGGTGATGAAAGTTGAATTAAGCCTATGCAAAGAATTAGTAAATTTGTCGTTACTCAAATCAAATCATTATCAATCAAAGTAAACATGCGGCAAGAAAAAATAATTGATAAATAAAGTTATATTCCATTAATGCACAAGTTTTGATTATAATTGTGAATTACTATTCAATTACATATATCTTTCTCTTTCACTGTGACAAATTTTAATACTCTGTTTTATAATTATAACAGTTCCTTTGCAATAATAATTGCAATAATAATAATAATAATAGAACGATTTATATATATATATATATATATATATATATAAGAGTAATACATAGAAATGTAACACATATGTATTCTATTTTTTTTTTAATTAAAATTTATATTGTATATTTTAAATGATAAGTGAAACATTATAAATAAATTTTATTACTAGTAAAGTAGTTGCGAGCTAATTCAACTTATTTTCTTAGCATAGAGACAAGAGGTAAACAATAAACAATTAGTACAATTATTACAAGATAAATTTGTATTTATTTCATACAATAAAAAAATCACTTTTTCTCTGCCTTTTTACTGGCACTAGTAGTCTTTGCTTTCTTAACCTTTTTTTTCAATCTATAAAACACATCTGTCCTCAATTTGTTTCTGATCTGTTTTGCTTTTCTTAGCTTAAAGCGGTCAAAATCACTAAGTTCCAAACGCTGAAATTAAATAAAAATCGATCTTAGTTATTATGCAAAACATAATTACAATATTTGCATTATTAAACTTACTTTCTTTTTAGCTTCAACCTTCCTTGCCCACATAGTCTCTTTCCAAAGATCATTAATGTTTGCTGCTTCCCATGCTTTACGTACAACACGGGTGGATCCAGTATATGGAAAACGTATACGGAATTTAGTTAGATGAAGTTCATTTAACCTCATTTCACACCGTGGAACATTTGAAGCAGGGCCATCAACCAAAACCTGTAAACAAAAGCTCGACTTATAAAATGCGTAAATTGAATCTATAGTAAATAATAACTAAATATTTTAGTATCAGTTAAAGTATAGTGGCATCAATTAAATATCAGCCGGCAATTCCTATCAAGATATTGGATCATCATATATTATTATTTAAAAAATCAAAAACACAATTGAATATAATATTTAATATTTACTAAAAGATATAACATATTTACAAAATTGTCTCACCCGGTTTTGATCGATGATATCTACAATAGCAACAAGTTTACCCTTGTATTGGCCATCGCTCGCATAAGCGATGCGACCCGATTCTACGAATCTCTGGAACGGCTATTAAAAAAAATCTCGTTACTTTTATAACAATAAAAAATTATCCTATTACAAATCAGTTTTATGTATGAATAAGTTTATACAATGATTTGCAGATAAGTGTAGCTGCCATGTGATTGAAAACTATGTTAAATACAAGGTTATGTCGATTAACTTTTTATGGTTGTTATACATCGTTAAACGTAGACTAGTATAAATTAAACCAAATAATGAATATAGAAGGCTTTCTTGTTAAAAAGACATTTTTCATACATCAATATAGTAAATTATACATGTAACATACAATATGTTCAAAACCACACTTTACTTACCATGATTTAGCGGAAGCAAAAGACCAATATCGGCTAGGTATGAAGGATACCAACTGTTAAAAGTAACTTGTCTCTAGTTTAAAGTGTAATAAAATTTTTGTATAATAAAATTCCCTATACATAGCATAAATAAACTCCAAATACAATTAATTCTTAAACTCACCACATTAAATCGTAGAGGGCATGTTTGACTTTTTGTACAATCGGTGCATTAATTCCTGTGACACATATTATTATAAGAATTTCCTTTCTGACTTAATTCTTGCAGTTAACATTTTGTATAAAATAAATACTTATAATAAAATGTTTTTATAATTGTATTTAAGAAGATTCAGATACAAAAAATGGCTTTAGCGCACGCTGATTCTACAAATCATATATCAAAATTTGATTGTATTGTGGAAAAACTAGTTATATTGACAAAAAAGAAGATTGATGAAATAAAGTTGATCAACAATTACCTCTGTGATCTTAATAATCTTGATTATCGATATTTAACAGGTTTGAATAATGATGTAAGTTCAAGCAAACAATTAAACTCATTATAATTAATTACAGTATTTATTAGAATCTTTAGCAAATAGTTTGATTAATTTATCTAAAAATTGTTGCTTTACTATCCAATAATATTTTAGGCAATACAGTTGCTGATTAAACAATTGTGCTTTATTACACCCATAGAAACAGATTTGATTCAAAATTTTTGTAAACTATTAATTAATATAACTCAAAACAATATTGAACTTCAGGAACAAACATTTTTATACGCCAGGAAATGGATTGTAGAAATATGTAAATCTGCCTTACCAATTACACATAATAATATAATTTTGGCTCTAAAAAATTTATTAACAAATAAACAATTTGATAATATTAATCATGTAAGTAGAAATTTTTAAAAATTATTCTATATTCATGAATGAAATATTGCAAACGCATAACATTTGAAATAATATTATTATAGTTAGAATATTACAATTGTTATTTATATTATTATATTATTTCAGTATTTGAAATTATTAATTGAAGATAATCAGTTATTAAAAAGATATTTGAATCCATCTAATACACAATGGTCTGAAATTCATTACAATGCAATTAGTTGCTTAGAAGGAGTTTTAATGAGTTGTAATAGTATTTTCATAGCAGAAGAACTGATATATATCATTAAAAATATTGCACTAGATATTGTTTCTTCTTCCTTATGTTTAAATGACAATAAATACTACTATACCAAAGTGAGTATTACATGTGAAATAAACATCAAATTGTATAAAATTTATTATCATCATTTATAAATTAAATTTTTAGGTATTATATTCATGCTTACATATTCTGCAAATAATAACAGTTAATGCAGTATTACCACATACCATTGACTTCATGGGTGAAATTTTAGGAGTGGTACAATCATTTTTATTTTATGGTCTTAAAGACTATCCTCCTATAAAACCACAACTTCTTCGTCCAGCAGTAATGAACCTTCCAGAGCGAATTCATACAATTCCTAAGTGTAAAAATTTGAAGAATCACAAGGCAAAAGTAAGAAAACAACCTATTAAGAAGGTTGCTACTGAAGTAAAAAATAACATTGTACCAGAATGTAAAGGAATTGGTTTTTATTCAAGTGATTCAGATACCTCAGATACTGAAAACAATAATTCTATTTTTATGGACTCTAAAGTAAGACTAGAATCTGTACGATTACTGCAGGCACTTATTGAAAATTCATCAAGTCGTGAAATATTTGGATTTTGGCCTCAAATTGTTGCCACAGGAACACGAAATGATGCTAGAGTATTGACTAGAAGCGTTTTAAAAGAATCTGTATCTAAAGTGAAACAACATATGCTAAGCACACTAACAGAATTATTGATAGATGCTAAACCTTTTTTAATGCACGCAGAAGATGTTCATCATACGTCTTTTATTACCTTTTTTGGTACAGTCTGTTTAATGATAAAAGAATTGCATTTTACATTATCTTTGATCCTAAATGGTGAAACAAACGTAGCTGTTTTAACCCATGGCTTAAAATGCGCTGCTGCTTTAGTTCAAGGTACACCATATACGCGTTTGAAAGCAGGACTCGCTACAAAGTTAATGAGAAATTGTAGGCCATATATATTTCACAAAGGTATTCCTATTATATAATATATTTTCTTACAAAAATAAAATCCTGTAATTATTATAATGCCTTGTATAGATCCAACAGTTCGTGTTGCTGCACTGTCAGTTTTTGAAGCTGTTGCTTCTTGTGATCCAGTAACTCCAGAAATATTTGAAATACTTGCAAAACAATCTACTATAAACGTAGGATCAGATCAACTATCTTTAAATGTTTCACTTAGTGACAATACAAAAGAAGATGAAGAAGGAGAAGAAGAAATAGATGTTGAAGATCTCAAAAATAATTTGATAAATGAATACAACAATAAATTATTCAGAGAAACAAATATCTGTTTTCTAATTCATGTTTGTTTAGAAAACATATCAAATAAGGTATACTTACATTTATAATTAGATTTTATGCGAATGAGATAAAAAGACATATTTTTGTAGAAAATAAACAATCATTTGATTTTAGACAATGAGTACACCTGTTCGTCTACAATCGTTAAAATTAATTGGTAGAATGGCATTTAGTACTAGAAGTCTTGTGTTTCCACATACAGACTTAATTACTATGACTTTAATAGGAGTCATACAAGATTCTGAAATACAAGTAATCTTACATGCTTGTCGTGCTCTAGAAATTATGGCTGGTTGTTTTATGAACACTGATTCAGAGGATAAAAATGCTGCAATATTTTGGAATATTATATTTGATCCTATGACATCACTTCTTCAACATCCACAAACAATAATAAGAGAAGCTGCATGTGATTGTTTAGGCAGCATTAACTCTACTATATTTGCTCAATTTCAAGTGAGTATTTGTATAAAAATTGAATCACTACAGTTTGTTGTATGTATTTTTTATAAATATTTTTTAGAGACAAAAAGCATTATTAATTATTACAATACTGTTTGGTGCAATACATGATAAAGAAAGTGCAGTAAGAGCTGCTGGATTACGAGCATTAGGAATGTTAGTCACATTGCCAGCACTGAAGGAAGAAACTGGATTTTTAATGGATTTAGCTGATATAGTTTGTTTAACTGCTGATGATGAAAATCTAGGTGTTCGTATCAAGGGAGCTTGGGCGTTAGCTAATTTGTGTAATTGTCTTACTAAAGAAAAGTTAGTTACAGACAAATCATATGTTTAATTATCTTATACTAGCCTGATTATTTTTTCTATATCTTTTATTTGTACAGTTAAAAAATTTAATATTTTTATCTTTATAGAAATTACGAAGAAGTAGAACCTATTCCTTTTGAAGTGTTATTGCCAAAAATTTATCAAGTCAGCATTAAAGCATCTAAAGATAATGATAAAGTAAAATGCAATGCTGTTCGAGCTCTTGGAAGTATACTATACTTATGTCCGAATAAAGATATACTGAAGGACACATCATCAGGTTTAGAAGCTCTTATAAATTGTGCTACTATAGGAAACGATATGAAGGTATATGAATTAAAAAATTGTTACAGGATCAGCAACATTATTAATCATTATTTTAATTAAAGGTTCGTTGGAATGCATGTCATGCTCTAGGATTAGTTCTAAGCAATGATCCAAACAGTATATTACAATCTTCCTGGCGGGTATGTAACAAACAGAATGTAATTTAAAAAATTTTTTTTATCATAATTAATATAACTTTATTGTTTTAGTAGGATCAAGTGTTTCCTGCATTATGTAACTTAATTTGCAACAGCCCGAATTTCAAAGTGCGTACTAACGCAGCGTGGGCGTTATATTCTTGCAATTCATATGGAAAATATATTGTAACTTTATGGAAGAGTCTTATCTTAGCATTTGAAAATTCTCAGCATGTACCGAGTTATATTGAATATCCTCACCGTGATGCTCTTATTCAACAGGTAATTATTACGAAATTTTAAATCTAGTACAATTATATGTGTATTAATATTTTTGATATATATTTTTAGTTGTGCCTTACTCTTAGCCATATAGCTGCATGTACAGAGATGTCAGATTTACAGAATCTTTGGACAGAGATAAGCGAACATGTAGATGATATTTCTAACTATGTAAAGCAGTTTCAGGTATGATTTTATTATTTATTATTAATCTTTGAAAAATCGGAAAACAAAATTAACAAAAAATTAAATTGTACAGAATCAGTATCATCATATCATATAATTTTTATAATTTTTTTTTTCATTTTAGGAAATTATTATTCCTGAAAAAATGGGAGATTTAATAAAGGCAAAATCTCAATTAGAAAAATATGTGAAAAATGCTTCGTTATTAGAAGAACGAAAAATTGCCCAAACCTTAGCAAGTATTTTTGAAAGAACTAAAAGATATGACAATTTAGATGGTATTGCTTTTATTACTAAAAAGTAATAAATAAATTATGTATTAATTATATGTATCTATGTACATCTAACATTTGAAATTATAACAATTTGCATATATAAAGCATATATGTATATATTTACACAACATAGAAACATGCAAACATGTAAAAATGTAGACAGACTATTAAAATATAGATTAAATTTATTTATCAAATATCTTTTCTAAATTGTTTCAACAATAATTTTATTTAAATATAAACATTATTGTATAATGTTTTAATTCTTATTTATTTTTATTAAGAAATTAAATTATTTATATTTACATATTTTCTGTAAATTTCATCCTTACTTATGTATTTACAGGAGAATTTGACTGATTCTCGTCTATATCTTTTGAACTTGATGTATCTTTAACTTCATTATTCAACACATTATCATCTTTATCACTTATTTGGATTTCATTATCATTTTTATCACTTATTTCTTGTTCATCTGAATCTTCATCATCAGAATTACTGTTCTCATTTTTGCTATGCTCTCCTATATTTGCAGTCTTCATCTTCTTCTTTTGTTTCCATTTCTGTTTCTTCTTTAATCTCTTTGCTCTTTTCTTTGCAGTTATTTCTTCAGCTATCCTTTTATTTTCCTCAATTCTTCTATGATATTCTTCATCTAAAAGTTCCTAATTACAAACACATTGTAAAATCATAAAAATTGATAATGTAAAACAAATGAATTATCAAATTAATCTCATTGTCAGTTACATGAATTTACATTTCATAATAAGCTCCTGTTACCTTGTGGCCTTTTTCTTGAATAAATTTCTGTCTTGCATATTCTTTACGCCTCAAATGTCTATATACATGAAATTCTCCACTGCCAGCACCAGCACTACTACCCATTACATTACGAACAAATTCTGGTACTGTAGGTGTATTCTTAGCTTTAGGTCGTTCTGGTAATATAATAGGCTTTTCCTACATATCATAATAAATAAATATATTTTGTATAGCCTATCATATATTGATCTTAAACTATTTATTCTAATGTTTTAAATATCCTATATAAAATATTTCTAATATTCTTTTAATTAACTTTTAATTTTAACTCATGACTGAAATTTGTGTTTACCGGATTTTTCATTAATTTTTGAAGTTTCAATCGCTGCAAATCAGTTGCTGTCTTTGCTACAACAGGTTTTTCTTCTTCTTTATTGTCTGGCATAATGATATATTATCGTACAAAACAAAGCTTTGATTCAAATTAACTTTATATTAGCGATTTCTTGTCAAATTACGACAGTGAGAGGTTACGAACATAATAACAAAAGTGAAATACGCACAGTACAAAATCGATATATATATAAGTTATATCGATTCCGCATATACATAAATTTAAAAGTATAATTAATCTTTTAAAAAAAATATTAAATCGTTAATATATTTAAAAATACAAACGCTATAATTAGTAACTTCAAAATATTTCAGAAACTTTGGGTATATAACACGATATTCTTAACAATATTTCTAATTTTTTTAAAAATTTTATTTTTACCACGATTTTGATTATCAATGTTAAATTTTGTTCACTATACTTATATACATGAATCTACAAAAATTTAAGTACTACGATATTTTTAACAATCAACAAATTATAAGTTTTGAAGAAAAATTTATCTTTAGGTTTATTTACTTATAAATAATAGTGAGTTTATTTTAACAAAATTTCATCAACTTAATTGAAATTACTAAACAAAAAATTTCATTATGATATATTCTAATACACTAGGTAAATTACTTGTTATTGTATATTGTTATATTGAAGATATACAAAAGAAGCAAATGCATTTAATAAATTTTTTCATTTATTTCACTAAAAAATTAAATTATTCTTTCTTTGGTGAAATTTTTCTTAGTAATGTAGTAATATGTTACTAATAATTCTGAAGCGATCCAGTTGGTAGCAGTAATAGTAGCAGAAGGCTTTCAATATTGACGCACATTGACGCTTATCGAGAGTCCTGTAATCGTCGAAGACTGAAAAAAAATTCTGCTATTGAATTCGAACTAATTTTCACAAGAGCGAGATATATTATTATATACTTTAGGGACAATGTCAGAGGCAGTAATAGATGAAAGGTAATTTTTGAACAAGGCCTTACGTTAAATGTATTTTCGACGAATATTCCATTTTTTTGCACTGTATGTTATAAATATTTTGCAGAGTAACGGATGAAATTGCAGCATTGAAAGCGATTTTGCTTGACGATGAATTAAACATAAAGGAAAATGACAGGTAAGTTATTTTCTTTAGAGTATTTAATGTTTGTAACCTAATAAATGAATTAAATCAATTGTCATTTTGAAACTTTTAATTACAGATTATTTATTGTTAGAAAATGTTATCTGTAATGAAAATATGTGTTTCCGTCAATGAAGTAGTATTGAATTTGACATTTAAATTATTTATATTTATTTGAAGAAAAATCAATTTTTATATTATGAAATAAAAAATAATCATAAATATTTATCTTTTTTATGATATGTGAATTTAAAAAACAATATTATACAACAATTACAATGTAAATTATGAAGCAAAAAATCTGATATTTTTCACTTCATGATTTACTTGTATTTATTAATGGTAAATATATATATATATATATTCATAATTTGCCTTTTTATAAATGTGTTATATTTGTATTTTTCTAGAGGCGAACCAGAATGTATTGAAACTGTATTGTTTCCTTCAACTGGTGAAGATTCACAGTCTCAATATGTTTGTGTAACACTGATTGTTCAGTTGCCTGTTGGATATCCTGATATATCACCTACTATTAGTCTCAGAAATCCCAGAGGTTTAGATGAGAACACAGTGAGGCTCATGCAATCAGATGCAGAAGCAAAGTGTAAGGATTTCATAGGTCAACCAGTTATGTTTGAACTCATTGAGGTATGTATCATATTTAAGGTTTATCTTTGTAAAAGATTATAATTAATATACTTGAAAATAATAAAATATGTTAAAATATACATTAAGCTTATGTAAAATGTATGTATAAGAAATGTGTTTAAATTTTATTATACTATTGCTGAATGTATTTTAGTTACTTCAGAATTTCTTATATTTATGGCTTATTATAGATATTATGTTATTCTGTTATTTTATTCGCTATTATTAAAGTGATATTATTACAACAGTTAATAAGAGAACACCTTACGAGAAGTAATCTTCCAACGGATCAATGTGCCATATGTTTGTATGGTTTTCGGGAAGGAGATGAATTTACAAAAACTGAATGTTATCATTACTTTCATTCACATTGCTTAGCAGCACACATTGCTGCTGCAGAACGATATTATAGAGAAGAACAAGAAAAATTGCCACAATGGCAGCAAGATGCTACCAATAAATTCCAGGTATACTATCATTTAATTATGAATTTGAAACTAAATATATTTCTAATAATCTTAGTTACCATTAAATATAATATTTTTTTTAGGCCATATGTCCTGTGTGCAGAGAGTCCATCAATTGCGATGTAGAAAGTTTATGGTCTGCTCCTCCTCCAATTGATGTTGAAGCTGCTATCGATTTTTCAGTAACTACAGAGCTGAGAGAATTACAAAAACAAATGGCAGCATTGTTTTTGAGGCAACAACAAAGGGGTGGTATAATTGATTTAGAAGCTGAAGGTGTAAAAACATTGGTTAGAACAGAAGATGAGCCTGGCGCGACTACTGACGGACCCAATCCTCCAGGAACCAGTTTAAATGCTTATTCAAACCAAAATATGCAACCTGTTAATCATATGGTATGTTTATGTAATTTTTACAAGTTGTTTTACGTGTTAATTTAGCTATCAATATATATAAATTTTACAACTTGTAATTCGTAATTTTATATTTTTAGTTTTAATATTTTAACGATAAAATATTTTCTCTAGCAAATGCCACAATCAAAACAATCTTCACAGACACAGAATCATGCTCACTATCAATCAAGACAACTACATCATAATTATCATGGCCATAATAACCATGGTCATCGAAATAGAGGTCGCGGACGAGCTCATTATCGTCGTCAATTTGACAGAGTTAGGCAGACGGAATCTACTCCCAGATGACAATGGGTTCGAGATAAACTATTTACTGTCTGGTCTCCTATTTTGCTAAATATATACAATAATATGAATAGCATTAGTAGCATAATTATGTGTGTATTATATAATAACTGTTTAATTTCAAATTACTTTTATATACTAAAATTATAGGTTTTGTTGTTCAGCAACATTCCCGTTGTAATGTTTAAAATGGGATATGTTGAAACTTCCAAGGACTGTCTGTGTAGACTGAAGCCATGGTGCTCTTTTAAACGATCTACAATCATAAAAAGTTAATGTTTTCCTTTTTTTTTCTTTTTTCTTTTATACAAATATGTATACAAACTACAAAGCTATAAATACTATAACATATTACAAGAAAACAAAAGAAAGGAAAAACATACAATCAAAATCTTATACAAAAAATATTTTATACCAGTTATTTAAAATTTATGCTCTTGGAGCACAAAAGTAATAGGTATCACTTTCAAATTAATCATTTTTAAATAAATTTTACAATTTATAATACTCATTTCTGTGCAAAAATATATTAATAATATAGATCGTGCTATATAACAGAGCAAACATGGGTCAGTGTTTAAACAGATATTTGTTTATTCCTTTAAAGAAATTAAAAATTTAATTCTTGCTCTATGCATATATTCAGAAGCAATGTAAATCTTTAGAAAAAGTATGTAATGCTATTATATATCAAATTTATCATATGAAATATACCTTTCAAGAGTTGAGAACTTTGGTTTAATGCATGAATTAACCACTACTTCTGAAAGATACCGTTCAAAAAATAATGTGAACAACACTGCACATCAGTAGTATGTTTTTAATGCAAAATATTTTCTACAATTATGTAATATATTTCGTATTGAAAAAATATGTGTAAGTCCTTGCTTTTTTGTAATTTATTTTGTCTTCTTTATTTTATTTTAAAATGTTAAAGAGAGATTTATTGTAAATATTTCTTTGTTGTGTGTGCAAAAGGTTCTATTAATATGTAAAAATCTTCCTTGTAATTGTGATATTTATAAAAAGATAATGACATAAAATAAGAAAAAATTTAGATTAAAACATTAGATCATTCCAATTCAAATAAATTAATATATTATTTTTATTATAATAATCCGATTTTTTTAAAGTAATAATAAATTTGACATTAATTATATACCGTTAGCGCTATTATGATCTTTAAAAATAGAATAGAAAATGCTTTTGTAAATGATAAAATAGTTAAACATTTATAACTATATAAATTTTTTGTATCCATTTTTTTTTAAACAAAACACAACATAAAGCAGTAACGTTACGTACCTTTTATAAATTATATTTTAAATGATATAAAGTAATATACTCCAAATTAATATAAAATATTTTTATTTTCAATTTGTTTCAACAAAAATGAACAAACTTTGATTAGAAATTATAATCTATGTATTAAATAATTATTTGCTTCTTATATTATGTTTTATATATACAAATACTTTTTCTAATACTAGTTACTTTTAAAAGAAATCTTTTAACTTGATTACAATAAAATTTTCATAATATTAAATAGCATTCTTTTAAAGTAGATGAAAAGCTAAAATAAATTAAATATATTTTTAAAATCAGCACGAAAGAATGTTTTCTTATTTTCGTATTTATTTTATATAATATTTATTTGTATGTACCAAAGAACTTATATTTAGTTCATAAATACATTTAAAGCAAAACTTTATTTTCTTTATATTGATATTATATTTATCTGTGATATTTTTGAGAAAAGAAAAATATTTTAATAATTTCCGCTACGCTTATTTTATAAACATGTACATAAATATTTATGCAAAAAATTAAAAATTGAGAATTCAGTATCTATTTATAATTATAAAATCTTTGTAATCTTGGTATTTGTTTTTTACCAATGTAATAAAAATATTCAGTGGAAAAATGTTTTATATATAAATTGCACTAATATTAAACAAATACTAAATGCAATAAGCGAAGGAATTTTTCCATGAATAAAATTGTAATGTATGGTCAATTAAAAATAAAATGAATATAGCAACATTTATAGTGTATTATATATCACATTACAAATATTCTCAAAATAATTTTTTTTATATTTATTTTTTATATCTTTAATTTTTTTATTTAAAAAACTATCATTTCATTACAATTGTTATTTACTAAAAAGAACATATAAAATATATTTTAATAATATCTATAGAACTATTATATATACAACTCATAAGAAATTTGCAAGGGATATTACCTGGAAATTAAGTTATAATAGAATTAATATTTACAAAACTAAATTTATGGTTCTTCTATTTACAATCATTTAAAAAAAATTCACCCATAACATCTAAAATTGTGAATATAATAAATTATAGATATGTATGTAATACATCTATATTTTTGTTTCAATTTTGAATTAGTTTTAAATTAATACAATCTACTAACAGTAAAACAATTCTTTTTTTATTTAAAATTATAGAACAATATTTTTATTTTAGAGATATACAACTTGTTAATTTTGATAAAACATTTATACAATTAATTTTCAACTTAGAACAATTGTAACAGTCAATTTATAAGAATAATAATAATTTAATATATTTACAATTTAATTAACTTTGCCAGCCACCTCCTTTGATGGTTATATAATAAAATAATTTACAATAGAATTATTAAATGATTAAAATAATTAATAACTTAAAAGATAATTAAATACTATGTATTGCATTGTTCCTTTACTTTATTAAGTTTTAATTTCAATTGTTCAAGTTCTGTGTGTATTGGTTTAAATAGATCCTTACATTGCAGCAAAATATTAGAAGCTGCATTTAATAATACTGGATTGATGGATTTCGGTGATGGAATGTCTATAGAAACAGAACTAACAATACTGTTGTCACCATATCCTTCATCAATACTTTCATCTGAATTTTTTGCTAGTGCCTTCAATTGATCTTTTAAATCCTGCGAAATAAAAACAGTTTTAATATTGAATTAAAAGAGATAAAAAAATAATTTATAGTAAAACTTACTTTATTTCTCGTTAAAACCTGTTTTAGACACTCATGTAAAGAAATTTCCACTTTATTTTTCTGAAACAAAATAATTACAATTTGATGATATAATTTTTCCATGCTAAACTTTTTTATTTCTAAACATTTTATACCATAGTGGTTAAATGACCCTTTATTTGAATTCCATGAAGTTTATTTTGTAGATTTTTAACTTTTCGTTTTTCTTGTCGAAGTTTTCTGATTAAAGCAGTATTGGCTTCATATGATAATGTCTTTAAATGTTTATTTTCATTCATTACATCTTGCATGGAATTCAATTTTTCTTCTGCTTCCACATTTTTTGATTTCAAAAGTTTGTACTGTGCAATCATTTTAGTTAACTGTAACCGCAACTGGAAGATTGCATCTTCTATCTGACTTTGTTCCTGCTTGGAAGAAAACAGAGTAGTCTGCAATGTTTCATTCTCAGATTTCAACTTTTGAATTTCAAGTTGCGTCTTACGTAATGTATCAGCAGTTTGATTCTTTTCAGTTTCACATTTCTGTATATTCTCTTCCATAGTTGCAATCAATATACGTTGCTTAGCCAAAGCGTTTTCCATCAATGCTTTGGAAACTTCATTGCTTAACAGTCGTTTTTCCAATGTTTTCAACTCCGTTCTCGTACCTCTTAGTTCATCTTCCGTTAATTCTAATTTCGTGGAGACATCTGGAGAACTGGATGTACTGACATCCAAAGGTTCTGAAATACTATTCGACTGATTTTGCGTCTTTAAATTTTGTACTTCGCATTCTAAATCTTGCTTCTCTTTTTGATGTTTTTGAAGAAGTTCCATATAATCTATGTTCAATTGCTTGTACCTGGCATTTATACTTGCTATCGTTTGCTGTCTTCGCTGCAGAATTCTTTGATAAGTATCAATTTCCAACTGCAAAGTTTTTTTGCTCGCTTGTAGGTCGTACACTTGAGATTTGTACCATTTCACAGATGCTTCCGATGCATCTAAATGATTTCTTACGTCTGTCAGTGTATTTTGTAATTTCTGTTTCTCCTGAACGACCAGCTGCATTTCTACGTACAGTTCCGTTATTTTGCCCTTGAGTCCTTCGTTGGCTGCAATTCTGGCATTAAGTTCAATACGCATGTTCTCTAAATCTATTCGAAGCCGTTCGTTCTCCAACTCCAGCAATGCAACACGCTTCGATAACTCTATGTTCGAAACGTCCGGCGTTGATAAATGTCTAATGTGGAATTCGTCGGTTATTAATTGCAGAGAATCTGTCGACGTAACAGAATCCAATTCTCCTTTGAGTGAATCAGATAAGTTGTCCATTGTTCTGAATTATACAGCAATTTAACGTGAATAATGCAATTTCCCAAAATTCTCTCTTGATAAATGCAACATATTACAAGTAGGTTATAAGTCAATTTTACAACGTCCGCATATGTAGATACGGTACTGCCAGTTTCATGACGTTTTTCAGTCTGACAAAATATATATATTACACATACTTTACGTTCATAAAATTTCTAATTCTTTTATTATTACGTTAATACGAAAACACACTGGGCATGACATGTGTCAATTACAAATTATGTACATCACCCGTGGTATAATTAAATGTTACTTCGTATTTTGCGTGTGCATCGCACGCAATCTGCACTTAAACGAGCACTTGCTCGCGTTAAAAGTGAATTTACACAGTTTTGTGAAAGTGACGTGACTACTTCATGAGAATGAACTTTACGATAAAAAAATTGTAGCGTTGCAGGACCTCGTTACGAAAAATTAAACCGAAAAGTAACTTTAGTCGATGAAATTTTTGACTTTGAACTTATTGAAAAGTTCGCGGCTACGTGTCGTAGTGAAAGCAACGTGAATAAAAGTAATAAGAAATCGCAAAACGTAACCTATCGATTCGCACAAGCGAGGACATGTCAAGACATTATATTATTCGTATCACGGCGCTAGCATCGTTTCGGATACAATTTCGCAGAGACGATAATCTGAGTAGCGCGCATGGTCGTTCAACGTCTTTGGATTAAGGGTGGGTCTGTTCTTTTTGCGGGAGGGGTCGTATAAATGAATCTAAGAATAAACAAGCGAAAGATACTGTAATATCCGCACACGAGGGCCTTACCTACGCGTTCTACGGGCTTGTGAGAATTAAAGACTGTGGACGAAAGGTGTTGTCATATTTTCGTGTTTGATGCTTATGGACGGCGTAACTGTGACGAAAGCCCCTTCAGTGGATGGAGTTCTCTACGATTCGTCTTGTCTTTCCCTAATTTCCAAGTCCCTCTTCGTTCGACCCGATTCCCCATAAAGACTCAATCCCCTATACGCTCTAGTCGCTCCCGTTCATGGATGCGTGCCGGGGTGGGGGAAAACAAGCTGTATAACGACGTAAAATTTCGAAGCTTGCATGCAGGAATATGTCAAGTTTAAAAATCGGTAAGCTGACACATTCATTTATTATCTCTCCTCGATGACGAACTGATAAATTGTGTTGTGATATCTCACGAGTAACAAAAGAGAAAAAAAAAAAAAAAGAAGAAACGAACGGCTAAGTCCGGGATAGTCTCGTGCTAGTTGTTGCCCCTTTGCATCCAACACGCTTCTACATTGCTTTTGTAGTATGGTAGGCAAGAAGGCAATGAACGATACTTCTATATACTGTGCTTCGAAAGTTACCACATTCTCGTCCAAGGTTTGCGCGAGGGGGATCGAGAGAAAGAATTGTCACAATTCTCTCGTGTATACGCGTTCTATATTGCGTATGTAAATATTTCAACGACTAGGAGGCGATTATTTGCGTGTTTTAACAAATCACTGCCGGTTATAACTAGACTGCAGATATTTATACGTCTCACGCATATTGGAATATGCAGACAAACTATACGAAATATGAAAATACGAGATATAAAATGTGTGTTCGAGGAATATGTGAAATATATGACAAGTATATTGAAAATATGTAATAATGGAATCGTTGCTAACTATAATTTAAAGCATATAGTTAATTGATAAAAATTAATTTACAATTCGATATATATTTGTTGTTTGACATGACACGACGTGTAACGAGACGTATACAAATTTACTCCAATGATGTTGACTTTTATTTATGGTTTCTCAATAACTTCGGTCATCTTTTAAAATCATCTTTCAGCAGTTTGTAATATAGATAGAAAGTTTTATAAAATACATTTGGCATATATTAACTTGATATGTTTAAAATAAATATGCAAAACGTGTGCTAAATTATCTGAAAACAAAATCCACAGTTTTATTATTAATTTTCTGTTTGCACAAATATCTGCAATCTACTTATAACATATCAGATTTCATAATATACAAAGCTATAGTTAAGCATTATCTTTGTTTATTATTCAATCTTTTTATATAAGCTTCATCTGTATATTTTTCTCTTGAAATAGGATATTTTCTAATAATTTTGCAGTGTCTCTTTTATAGATATTTTTATTTTTTGTCTTCTTTTCTTTTTTAATTTAACTTTGATCTTCTGCATCATATGTTTTCTTTATCTTTAAAAAAAATCTTTTAATAATGCAATATTTTGTGTATTTTTTTAGACAATTTTATTTTATAGTACATTGTAGTTAGCATGAATGTTTAGTGTTCTGATTATTAATCTGTACTGAAAAAATGTTTCACTATTTTTGTTCTTTTTTAAATAAATTTTATATTAATGTATAACTTTTAGTATTAATAATTTAATATATATTTTGAATATATTTTACTTAGAAAAGTTTTAATTTTAAATTGATTTTTATTATTTTTAAACTGTATATTGTAATATCATTTCATTCATGCAAAGGATCAACTTCTAGAAATACGTTAACATTGCGAAATAATATTGCATTAATAATGTTAAACTGTTTTTATTAATTTTGAAATCGATAGTTTTATAAATTTTGTATATAAAAAGTAAAGTAGACTTTATTAAACAAAATAATTGCATGTAACTTCTGTTCTTTATATATAATTTAGTTTGTATTTTACATATCATTGAGTACACATGAAAATGATATAATAATTTTAAATCATTTATAATAATTACATGTGTTTATATTATATATAATTATATATATTATATTAATTATAAAATATATATCAAGAATGTTTAATTTAACAATTGTTAGTTATATTAAAAAAATTATGAAAATAATATAAAATAATGTTCAATTTGTTGTTGTATAAATAAATGTTTTCTCTTTAAAAAGAAATGATATTTTCTCTGATAAATCTGTTATACTTTAAGTGAATTTACAATAAAAATAAGTAAAAGTGCAATATAATATTTTTTTGATGATATATCAAAATATTGTATTTTGCAATATATATGATGTCAAGTTAATGATCATTTTATTTTTCCTAAAGTGTTGGTAATGCACTTGCTTGCCCTACCCTTGAGAACCATGGACTCTGAGCAAAGAAATCAGCAGGTATATCAACACTAAACAAAGCTAAAGAATGAATGCCTGCTGCACTCACGCCGCCAACACAGAACAAGCAGACTTAACATTTATGCAAATAGTGTGTGAGTAGCAGCTACTCACGCCACAGTCAGACGTATATATCTGTTTTCGCACATGGCAGCCATGAAGCATGGTACGTTTTATTCTTGTATGCTTTGCTTTGTATGTAAATTTGTTTAAATGCCTATATCAGTATAATTTATCAGGAAAGAATTGATTGATAAGTCTTTGAACTACATCTCTATATGTATATTCTATATATATTTAAAAGTATATAGAAAGCAGAATATCTCTAAATAAATTGTAAATATAAATGTATTTTTTATTTTAGGTTTTATGTTATATTTTCCTAAATATTTTATCCAAAGTTTAATTCTGTGATTTAAGAATTAATTAATATAGTAGATTTTGTATATATTAGATATCTTATTTTTTGTATCAATTGTTTTCTTACTCAACTGTTGTTGTTTTATTATTATTATTAATAAACATTACTAAATTATATATATAAAAATGAGATATGTTTTTTTAATTTAATTTTTATACCTAAATACTAAAATATATATCCAAATTTTAATCTCATGATCTGATTTTTCTAAAAGCTTCTTATTACAATAACGTTAAATTTGAAACTTAAGGTTGTTATAATGAAATTTTTATATTCTAATTAAAAATATGCAATATTTTAAAAAAATATTATTGTAACAATTTTCAGGCAAGACAAGTCAGGACGACGTATGTTATGTTGTCGCCAAATACGACTATGGGGCACAAGGTGCTCAGGAGCTAGATTTACGGAAAAATGAACGATACTTGCTTCTCGATGATTCTAAACATTGGTGGAGAGTACAAAGTGCAAGAGGCCAAGCTGGCTATGTGCCAAGTAACTATGTCAAGAAAGAAAAACCATCTCTTTTTGACAGTATTAAAAAGAAAGTCAAGAAAGGTTCTGGCTCAAAAACTCTACCATCCAGTAATTCACCATCCAGAGCTGTAGAATCTCCTATTATGGCTAGACGCTTGCCTGCTGATCCAAGTGAAGCAATAGGCACAGCAGTTGTCAAGTACAATTATCAAGCACAACAAGCGGATGAACTATCACTCGTCAAAGGCACTAGAATCTTAATATTAGAAAAAAGTAATGATGGTTGGTGGAGAGGTCAAAGTGGTACACAAGCAGGATGGTTCCCATCAAATTATACTCACGAAGAAGGAGATGCAGATGATACTCTTCATACATATGCAATGGCAGAAAATGTTCTTGATATTGTTGTTGCACTTTATTCATTTTCTTCCAATAATGATCAAGAATTATCGTTCGAAAAAGGTGATCGCTTGGAAATCCTTGACCGTCCACCAGCAGATCCTGAATGGTATAAAGCAAGAAACAGTCAAGGTCAAATAGGTCTAGTGCCCCGTAATTATCTTCAAGAACTGAGTGAATATTTGACACAACCATATCGCGAAAGAGGAATGACAAGTAGTGAGATTAGTACAGGAGACTCCCTTGAAAGAAGGCCAGACCCTGGTGATAGACCACATCTTGTTGGGAAACCTTGGTACTATGGTAGTATTTCACGTTCGCAATGTGACACATTATTGAATCAACATGGTCATGATGGTGACTTTTTAATTAGAGATAGTGAAACTAATGTAAGTATAGATAAAGTTAATTTAATTACTACAGTTTTTATATATCTAAATTAGTTTATTTAAAATATGATCTTATTGAATAACAAATAATAACAAATAATATATATATCATCAATAAATTTTTAAATATAGTAAAATATTTGTTATTACGTAATTATAGTAAATTATTGTACTGTACATTAAATATAAATATTATAATATTTAGGTGGGAGATTATTCAGTTTCCTTGAAGGCTCCAGGACGTAACAAACATTTTAGGGTACACGTGGAAGGAGCGTTATATTGCATTGGTCAAAGGAAATTTCATACATTAGACCAATTGGTAGACCATTATCAACGAGCGCCTATTTATACTAACAAGCAGGGTGAGAAATTGTACTTGGTGCGCCCATTGCCAAAAGGCAACCCCAGTAGTAATGGTTGCTAGGTGAATTCGTGCCATGAAACGGTCCATGCGCTTTGAAATGTATCTTTGAGATACGTAATGCCTGCCTAGTAATATCAATATCACACATCTCGTATGTTTATACATAACAATTAATATAATTGGTGAACTCATATATTAGTGTTTCTTGATTGTTTGTCCATTTACACTGATAAATAATTTATTATTCTAAGTAATTACCACCAACAATTCTTATCATTAATTGGAGCTTCCATACTATTTAGCAAACAAAGCTAAGAGGAAAAAAAAAAAACATTTGTACGGCAGCTATATGACAATTGACTAGTTGACACACAAGGCTTCTCTTTATATCCATATGTAATTGTAAAACACGATCGACCATGTTATTACAATTAATAATATATTTACAACTACACGTAATGTAGACTGCAAGTGTAATGATCAAATAACGGTTAATTATCATGCAATTATGACCGGTTAAGTGGATCTCTACTCTGAATCTATTGGTATTGAATTATGACAAAGACTAAGTGTTCATTTGTGATTTTGTATTTATTAGAAATTTTTAACTAAATAAACTATATTTAAGTGTGCATCAGGTAAAATGTAGTATTTTTTCAATCCTTTATTTATTACGTAAATATTTATTACTATATATTTTTCAATATTAAGAATCTTTTTGCTATACTGGACAATAATAAATATAATTTAATTTGGAAACATTACAAAGATTCTTGTTTCTAGTATTTAAAATATATTTACATATTTTATTACGTTATTAAGACTAGAAAAATTTTTATATTTGTACAAAAAATTTATATACAAACATAATGTATAGCAAGATACACAAAATCAAATTAAATTGAAATATATCAAGGGATGATTTTACTAGGCACAATACATTGGTAACAAATATTAATCTTTATTTAACGTGTATATTATATTCATAAATAAAAGTATTATTTAATCATATAAGAGATTGGTGCTCCTGTAGATAAAAGTTAATGGCACTAATTGCCAATAAGGTCACGTATATAAACAATCGCCCTAAACTAAACATATTTTAGGTCTATATTATTTGTTCGTAATTCCATTAAAAACTTATGCTTATTTAATCATAAGAAAGGATTGTTCGAATTTCTTGTCATGTTGCTCACACCAGAACCAACCTAAAAACGCTTATATGTTTAGATATATCTCTGTTTGGATAAAATTCATAGAGTTAAAATGAAAATACTAAATTCATACCATAAATGGATTTGCATGATATGCTGGAAGAGTCGGTTGCCACACTTTATTTGTCATTAATTGACTAAACTGAATTACATCTCTGTTACTAGACGGTCCAATACCTACCCACTGTGAATCTAAAATATTTACATTTTTTAATTTATTTCGAATATTCAATATATTAAATTTAATTTACATTATTTGAATAAGAACTTACCATTATTTATAGGAAACTGTACTGGTTTAAAAGGATTAATAGGATTATATAGAGATGTATCAATTGATTGTGTATTATTATTAACTACATTTGATGGTCGCCATAAATCACCACTTGCAAATGGATTTGAAATTACATTTGTAGTTTGATTTCCTACACTCCAAAGTGAATTTGAAGCTGTGAAAAGAACAATATAATAACTTAATTTTAATAAATGAAAAATTTAATAATACATATAGATCATGCAAATACCATTATTAGCATTCCAGGTGGATGTATTTAATGCTGTTGCAGTATCATCTTTCAATTGTATTTGCTTCATTAGAGAATCTAAGTCCTTCAGTGCCGCATAACGATCTTCTGATGGTGGTACGTGTGCACCATTTGCATTCATTGTATTAGTCAAATTTCCTGTAGTCTGACTGAACGGACTCGAGGATTCAATATCTAAATAAAAGATCAATTATTAATATAAAAATCATGTTATATTACCTTGTAAAAATAAAAGTATAAAACATTGATTCACTTTACTTGTATTTTTTTGACTATTAAAAATGGGATTGTTGTCAAAATTGGCAAAAAATGGCTGAGGTACAATTGGTTGACTGAGTTTATTTGCAGGTATTGTAGTAGTTATAAATGGATCAGGAACTTTGCTGAAATCAGCTACAAAATCTGTCGAAAAATTATTAAAATTAACTGATTCAACAGTATTTGTTTTTGAAGCTGATGTAGATGTAGTAGAAGATAATGTAGTAGACGTTCCAGAATGTGGAACCCTTGGAATGTTGGTTGGATTAGATGATTGTGATTTTTGATTTGAATTTTGATTTGCCATGGACGGATCCAAATAATATCTTTTAAGCTCATATTTTGCACTCATTAAATCTTTCATCTTTTGTTCATCTTTAGTATCTAAAGTCTGAGGTGAATTTTGGTTCATCAAGCCTAACCATATTCTTTTGCAATATTCGTTACCACGTTCCTTTATAAATTCTATTTCCTCTTGAGTAAATGTTGCCATAGAAATAGATTTTACTCTGTGTGGTGGTGTCAAGCCCCGTCTGTAATTTAAAAAAAATATTACTGATGTAGATTTTTTTTCTATTTTAAATTTAAATATTTGTATTTATGCAAAATCTTAAGTTGAACTTACATATATTAATTGATAAAGTTACTAGAATTTTTATTTACATTAATACATTAATAATACAAATATTAGATTATTTTATAATAAAAAAATATATTTTTTTTGTATCAATACTTCACTTCTAACTAACAAAGTTTTGCTATAAAATTCTTTTTTTTTTGACAAAATTCTGATTATGACGATTCCATCATTCTACTTATGGAAAAATATAATAATTACCGATATTTTAATAATGTAGTAGAATAATCACAATTAGCATACGGATAAAAATATTAAAATTTTGTTGAAGCTTTCAATAATGTAATTTACAAGTAATATACATTGAATATAATTATATAATTTTAGACCAAAATGAATAGCCGATAAAAGATTTAAAAACAAGGAATATTCGTTCTGTTATCATTTATGATATTTCCCAATTTAACCACCACTTTCAGTGTCAGCTAATTGTAAATTAATTATACTATAGACTTCATGGAAATAGATACCGATGCTCTATATTATTTATGAATAGAACATATTTTGATCTTTGATAACAACTACTACGCACAAAGAGAACACTGATACCGATAGTACATATTAACTTCCTGACCGCAAATGCGAGCATCTTAACAAAGATCCATGATCAACTATTCATCAAGTTCGTAGTAAAATGCATGTTCATCGTACGTGTTTTCAACAGAGTCTGCAAACAGTAAATATGTACATTTCATTTTCGATTAAATGCGAGACACATACAACCGATCCGAAACCTGTATTTGAAATGATGACATTCACCGAAGTGAAAATTAGAATTATTCGATCGCTGAAATATTATGCAAAACAGCTGTAAAGTGTATTTCGGTCAGTTCTATTTATAATATGATAAAATACGATGAGGTAAAATAACAGTTACGTCACATTTTTTGCGTGCGAGAAGAACTTGGTACACTTTATTGGCTTCTTACAAGTAATGAGTACTTACAGCATACCAGAACAAGAGGTACAGACGAACGAACCGATTGTCATGTTGACGTAAGTTGGGCCTCGCTGACGGCAGTCGAAACATTCTTTATTACCAGGTTGGGAGACCAGCTCGCGTAATATTTTCAAATTTTTCTCGTCTTGCTTTCTTTTCGCGGACGCCATCATACACGGAGAACGCACCTCAGGATCACGAACGGAACAAGGAGAGACACAACTCTCGCGCCCTGCTTGCGGAACTGACTCAATTTTCTGTCACGATAGTCGCGCGTGTTCCGTAACACATTCTAAAAATGTTTCACGGAGAAAACACGAAACGCAGACTAATATGTTTGCAATAATTCCGTTTTTATGGTTGATTTTCACTCGTTCGCAGTCCTCATTCTCATGTAAGCTTGTCGTGTTTTTTTTTTTTTTTTTTCTCTCAAAGTAGAATATTTTATTAATTTACTCTTTGCATTTGTTTCCTTCGCAGATGGATTTTGTTTTTCTCGCAATAAAATTCAAATAGGAAATAATTGATATATGTCACGTAATGATATCATCGCTACAGTAGTATATTATACAAGTATACTAAATATTTGATTGTGTATTTTAAATTTAGATGATAGAATCGGCAGCGGTGTCATCTTATAAAGAAAGAGATTTGAAAAATCTATATAATTTAACATGTCATTATAATATGCAAAAAAGTTTAATATATTTTAAATATATTATAAACATTATGCTCGCTTAAAAATGAAATATTTTGATTATCCTATATATTAGAAAGATGTTTTATTTGTAATTTAATGATAGATAAAAACTAAAATAATTACCGCGAAAATTCAATTGCAACTTGTTAGCCTGTGTATTAAATTTTCAATGTATTTTATTTCGATGGATTTTGTCTAGAATGATGGAAAAAGTATTGTAAAATGCTATTATGAAATGTAATTGCATAATTCAAAAGTTTTCCATCTCGAACAAGTTTAAAATGGATTAGAAATAGAGCTATTTACAGCTGTCTTTTGACCTATTTATAAATCAAAGATAGTAAATAACCCGCACGTACCAATTGTATAAACGATTTGATTGTAGTGTAAGTAAAATAACTATTCGAAAGAACACAGTCAAGGTTAATGCGCGTATACGTGCACGAAAATTAGAGAAAATGGTCTTTCGTTATTCCAGTTATTGTCCTATTGTTGTTAATTAATTTCTATTGTACTGAAAAAATTGATTGCTTATTGAACGTTTTATTATATTTCATTTAAAGATTCTATTGAAACTGCTAATAGAAACAATTGTCATGTGATTGCTAAACAACAAAATCAAGTTAAAAAACCACGATTCGATTGCTCTGAATATGACATCTCTCGCGGCGACACCCGCAAAAAGGTTTATTTCTCTTAATTTTTCNAACTAATTTTTAATTGTTTTTATGCAAGTATTATGATCAATCTTTTACTCGTGTAGACCTCCTCACAGCAGAAATGCTCGGCAAGGCAGTGTCATTGATTTGGATATTGACATGTTTCTCAAGATATCAAATTATGAAGATACAGTCAGACAACTTGACATCTATTATGGAATTGGTAAGAACATTCATTTTTATATTATTTTATTTAGCAACAAAGTATATAGGTTACATATTCTTTGTTTATATTTTCAGTCTTTACTTTGTTGTTTATATTTATTTTCTTTTACTTTGTTGTTTATATTTTCAGTCAAAAGACAATTACTGCGCTATCAAAGTTGTATAACGGGTCTTTTTCCACAAGTTTCAAACGATAAAGTAGTTGGAAGTGTAAGAGAAAGTATTTATTGCGCTGCTGCTGTATGGAGTTTGTATCAAGCATACAGGTATTAAAAGATTAAATTAAGATTGAATTATTGTATTGAATTAAATTTGGATTGAATGTTATATATAATTAATGTTTTTTATAGGCGTATAGATGATGATCGTGGAAAGTCTTATGAACTTGGACAATCAGCTGTAAAATGCATGCGTGGAATCTTAGAATGTTGGGTGAAACAGTCACCAAGGATAGAGTTATTTAAACGCAACCAGTGCGACCGCTTTGCATTGCATTGTAAATTTTCTTTAGATACTGGTGATGAAATTTTTAAAGATGCTGACTACAATCATTTGCAAGTAATTACAATGGATATTGAAATATGATAAAGATTGAATGGTTCAGAATAATTATTATACCAACTTTTTTATTTTTTATAGATTGACATTGTTTCCTTATATTTGATATTTTTAGTACAAATGATTTCTTCAGGTTTGCAAATCATATATACTCAAGATGAAGTAGCGTTTATACAAAATCTGGTGTATTATGTGGAAAGAGCATATCGTACACCAGATTATGGCATGTGGGAACGTGGTAGTAGATATAATGACGGTACACCTGAAATACATGCAAGTTCAATTGGTATAGCCAAAAGTGCTCTCGAAGCTATTAATGGGTGCAATTTATTTGGAGAAAAAGGAGCTTCCTGGTCAGTCATATATGTTGACATTGATGCACACAATCGAAATCGTAGCATTTTTGAAANAATGCTTCCAAGAGAATCAAGTTCTAAGGTAAAAAATGCATATATTATGTAAAAACATATTATAATTTAAATTTTAATATATGACACTGTATAGAGTGTAGATGCAGCTTTACTACCAACAATATCTTTTCCTGCATTTGCTACTCACGAAGAAATATTATATAACGAGACGAAGGCTAACATAATACGAAGATTAAAAGGCACTTATGGATTTAAAAGATTTGGTAGAGATGGATACAAAACAGTTATAGAAAACAAAGATCGACGATATTACAAATCTGGTGAAATCAAGGTCTCTGATGTATTTGATTGTTAGTATATACTATTTTCGGAATGTGCTTAAATGAATCTGTAATTTTCCTATGTAATTACGTTAACTTTCTTTAGTAATTATAGAACAATATTAAAAAAAATGTTTTTTTTTGCTTATAGGAATTTGATCATATAGAATGTGAATGGCCATTATTTTTTATATTTATGATTATTGATGGTGTTTTTAAAACCTTGCCAGAACAAGTGGAAGAATATCAAAAATTGTTAAAAGAACGGATATACAAAGATATTAATGGAGGTATGTTAATAGAAGATAATACTAGTATATATATATATATATATATAACATTCTGTTATATTTTGTTTAATTAATTATATTTTGTTTAGATCCTGTAATACCTATGTATTACTATGTACCTGAGGAAACTTTGGAACTAGAAAGAAATGATCCTGGTAGTGCATATCGAGTAGCAAGTGCTGAAGGAAGAGGACAAAAAAATTCTACAGATACGGAACATGGACCCATGTATTTGTGGAATCAAGCCATGTTTATAATTGCTCAACTACTTACTGCTGGTTTATTACATATTAATGAATTAGATCCAATTAGACGTTATCTTCCTTCGTACAATAGACCACGAAAAGCTGGAAGGTATTCAGCTTTTCAAGTAAGTACAAATATAGTTTAGTTAATATATTTACTAAATTAATTAGTTGTAATAAATTATTTTGTACATGTTTGTTTCATGCAGGCTAAACCGAGTATTGTAAGTAAATGATACTGTAGCATAGTACTTTGTAGTATTTTTTTTAATATTTGCAGATGATAGCTTTATAATGTTAATTAATATATATGTATTTGAAGCTTTCAAATTAAACAAATGAATAATACATGCTTGAATCATATAATCAAACATTGTAGTGTTGAATGTTTTTTATTTGCTCAAATTTATACCAGATCACTAGTTAAATAATAGTTGTCTATTATATAAACATATTAATATAAATATTAGGAACATTTTTTTTAATTAAATAGTGCATGGAGCTTGGATCAAGGCATGAGTTATTTTAGTCCTCTTTTAAGATGCTTGATTCTGTTATCTTACTTCTTCCTTTTCTTGATATTTCTCTTTACAACACATAGTTTATGCATTATATATTATATCATCTAATTGACAAATTAGTTCTAAAACTTCTAGTCCTTGTATTGCATTAAGGAATGTGAAAATGTATTACAGTAATAATTTCAACATTCTTATTATATTATAATAATGCATGATTGATCTATTATAAAATTTCTCTATATTAGGGTACTCATACTGATCTTGTAGTACAAATCGTTCTTATTGCTGAATCCATGCGATTACAAGCTATGATGGCAACATATGGTATACAAACACAAACGCCACATGAAGTGGAACCTGTACAAATATTATCATCTACACAATTAGTAAAAGTTTACGAAAAATTGGGTGTAAATAATAAATTAAATCTACGAGGCCGACCGGCAAGACCAATTGGATCTTTAGGTACAAGCAAGGTATGTTGAATACATAAAGTAAAAATTGATACAGAAAATTCAATATGATTTTTTGTAGGTTTATAGAGTGTGTGGTATGACAGTACTCTGTTATCCTTTAATATTTGAAGTGTCAGAGTTTTATCTGTACAGAGACATGGCTTTATTAATCGATGATATTAAAACTGAACTTCAGTTTGTAGGCAAATATTGGCGACTTTCAGGTCGACCTACTGTGTGCCTTTTAATACGAGAAGAACATATGAGGTATTTATTTATAAATTAAAATAGCTTTGATATTATACATATAAATAAAATTTTTTTTAGAGATCCACAATTTAAAGAAATGCTTGACCTTTTTGCTATGTTAAAAAAAGGATATTGTGATAAAACAAAAGTACGAATTGGTCGTTTGCAGAATCTCATTTCATCTTCGTGTATTGGTAATTATTATTTATTTATTATTTTTTATTTTATAAT